ATCCATAAACCCTCTTTCACTCATTTCATTCGCCGACTCACCCACCACAAAGACACACACCTCACCCCCCCACCAACAACAACAAGAACCTTACCACCCAGGCAACTAAACAGGAACCCTCCCCGCGACCTCCCTCCAAAACGCACACCGACTCGGCAACTCGACCAACTTTACATTCGCGAACCCACCCGCCGCCACCACAAACTCCCGGCCCGTGGCGCGGAGCAGCGGGACGCCCGGCTGCGCGGCCTCCGTCAATTTATGGGCATTGGGGTTGCCGGTCTGGAAGAAGCTGGCGAAGGCGCCGGCGTAGCCGTCGTAGATGAGGGGGTCGGATTGCTGGACGGCGTTGACTTGGTTCCACTACCGCCCCAAAGAAAAAAAATCAATAATCTAGGTTGCGTGGGGGGGGGAACAAAAAAAGGGAGAGAGGGGGGTTAAAGGGTGAACTCACCCACTCGGTGTCACTGCCGTGTTTGGCGGGCGAGATGGTATACTCGCCGAGGTAGCCGTGGGTGCCGGCGGCGGAGGCGACCCAGTAGGCCGGGCAGGCGAGGACCAGGTCCCGGTAGATCAGGCCGGCGCGGACGAGGGTCGTGTTGTAGGCGTCGATGGTCTCGGTGGTGCCTGCCGGCGGGTAGTACTGGGATTCGAGGAGGCGGATCTCGCGGGAGGTGAGGCCGGGCACGAAGCCCGAGACCCAGGCCTCGAAGCTGGCGAGCGAGGCGTTGAAGCCCGTGGATGTCGTGGTGGTCGAGCCCAGGCCGGCGGGGACGAAGTTCTCGCCCTCGTGCGAGTTGTACATGCCCCAGATGAACTCCGTGGGGAGGGCGCCGCGCGCGGTGGCCTCGGTGAGAGTGTCGGTCAGGAACGCACCGTCGATGACGGGGGCCCAGGTGTACGAGCTGGTGGTGTAGGTGTGGCTGGCGTCGATGACCAGGCTGGCGTCGCGGATGGTCTGCACGTCGATGGTCTTGAGGCAGCGCAGGGAGTCGTTCGCCGTGGTATTGCCGCAGCCGGTCAGGTTCACCAGCTGCGAGTAGATGGCTTCGGCTTGCGGGGCGTTGTAGGCGTAGGTCTTGGGCCAGAAGGGCGAGCTGGCGAGGGCTTTGCTGAAGAGCTTGGGCTGCTTGCCCCGGCCGTTGGCCAGGACCTGCGCGACAACGGACCCCGCGCCGGCCGACTGGCCCCAGATCGTCACGTTGTTGGGGTTCCCGCCGAAGTGGTGGATGTTCTCCTGCACCCATTTGAGGACGTATTGTTGGTCCAGCAGGCCCGCGTTGAGGTCGGAGGTGGGCGAGTCTTTGATCGCTTGGCCCGGGAGGAACCCAAAGGCGTTGGTGCGGTAGTTGGGATAGATCACGATGTAGTCGTTGAGAGTGCTGACGTTGAGGGTTGGATAGGCGCTCGGGGGCAAGGTAAAGGACGCGCTGCCTTCGATGAAGGCGCCGCCGTAGAAGACAACCAGCACCGGTCGATTCGCAGGGGCCTCCCAAGGCCGAGAGTAGAGTCCGAGGTACAGACAGTCCTCAGAGCCATTGACAGTGCGCTGGGGGCACATATCGAAGGCCTGATTACTGTCATAGGTGCCATTTGTAATGGTCAGTGGAGGTTGGGGAGCTCGAAACCGATTTTCGCCCGTGGGGGGTGCTGCAAATGGGATTTTCCGGAAATAGGACAGGTTGTAAGTCGCGTCATAACTGCCTTGGAAGACTCCATAGTCGAGAGTCACCAGAGGCGCCTCATAGGCGCTTATCGCAGACACGAACAGAGCTAGGAGGCACAAGACCCCGCGGGATATTGATCGCATAATCATGTTGACATGCTTTTGTCATAAGGTCGTACAGCCGGCATCTTGGCAGTCGGGGATAGAGGAGGCTTTAAGTACATCTTGGCCATGATGGGCGATCGTTGGTCGGGTAGAAAGAGGCCGAAGTTGTATTGACCTGCATATGCGGTGCAGGAGGAATTAAAGAGATCCTTCGTCAGGTGTCATGAAAAACCGGGGAAGCGTGGCACTTCTCGTCTACCATTGGTGCGATTGAATTCTCCCTCACGATGCAGCCATGGCGAAAATGCGGAGTTGCAGGAGTTTGGCGGGGAAGCAAGGAGGAGAAACAGACCCGCTTGATTATGAGGACGCCCCGGGGAAATATCCGGCGAAGTGCAGAAAAAGATCATCGATTCCAATCCAAGAAGGCCGTGGTGTTGCGATAGGCCTTGTAAGCATACAACTGAGAAGATCAGAAGCGGAACGCCGACCAGAACTGTACAGGGAAGCCCCTCCGATCCAGAGGTATAGGAAGGAATCCAGAAGAAAGAGAATCAATCAAAAGTATCGAATATGTCCATAGATAGTAGCCGCCAAGAGCTGTCAAAGGTGTCAAACCGCTCATGCTCGTCATCATCCAACGCCTGGGTTCCACTGGGAATGGCTCCAGTTGTTCTCAAACGCCGTGCCCAAAAATCGCCCAAACCCATTATTATTCAAACATCGCCATCGTTAGTAAGTCATCCGCATTGCTCGGGTCCGCTGCCTGCTGGCTCGCGTGCTGCGACGCTCATCGCACGCCTCGGTCTCGTCCGTCTCCGTGCGTGGCTCCGACAATTCCGGAGTCGGAGTTACTCCAAAGCTGACACCGCGATCCTTGCGGGAGACACGGGCTTCTTCTTCGGGGGAAAGGAATCGATGGATAACGCGATGATCCATGATCCGTTCTTCGTCATCATTGGGTCCCTCCTTGTCAGTCTTCGGCCACTGGAAGCCATATAGCATAGAATGCCGCTCGCATCGACGACATTCACGTCTGGTCAGGTATGAATCTTGCTGGACGAACCAAGCAGTACAGGTGCGGCAGTCTACCCACCGATCGTAAACCTGTGCGAGCAACTTGGGGGTCTTGGTATAGTCGCCGGGGACTCGAGCCCGTGGTGACTCGACCTCCACCGAAGGAACAACACCTCGCTTCCGCGACTTGTTCAGTTTCTCGACCACGGTGCTAAGCTTCTCGTCCAGCTCCAAGGACTCGGATAGGTCTGATAGGGCATCCCGTTCACGAGACGCGAGAAGCCTTTCTCCGTCGGGTTGACTTGCACCGGGGGTGGCAAGCTCATCCTTGCCGACCAGTACCGTATCTCGAACCGAAGCCTCCGCGGTCTCCTCGATTTTGATCTGGACAGCAATTTCACCAACGGATGTTGCAACCGTGGACGTGGAGGAGTGGTGGGATTCGTCCCCTGCGAGCGAACTAGGCGACGTGCAGTCAGTGGCGTTAGGGCTCTGAATGCAGACCTCATCAACGGCCTCGCTTCTAAGTTCAGCTTTCCGACTCCTGGTGTTAGGTGCTGAGTTACCGGCGTTCGTAGACGACAGACCAGTCGCGGACTCGGGGGATGCGGGGGCGTCGGAGAGCAACAGCTCCGATCGCAGCTTCGAACTCTGGCGGGTGAATTTCGTGCGTTTGCGGGGGGTGCAGGATGGTGAGCGTTCGGAGTCGGTATCGGGGGCATATTTGCGTTTCTGAGGGGTGAGAAGGCCAGTGTCCGCACAGGCAGGCTCGTCGCTTGGCTCGGAAGGCGCCCACCCATTCCGCACGGCACGTTCACACGTCAAGCACAGACACTCGCAGTTGTCAATGCCAAAGTAGTCCTCGCCGTACGAGACCGTGATCTCCTCGCCGATATAAATGTCCCGGATCGCCACGACCTGCATGCCCTCCATGCCCCTCGTCACCAACCGCCCATTAGCATTACAGTCGTGGTTGGCGAAGCGCGCCGGGCCCAGGAAGAACGACGGGGTCTTCCTCCTGCTCGACATCACGATGCTAAAATCCTTCCTCTTCAAATCCAAGTCCTGCTCCTCCTCCCGGGTCATGGGCACCAGAGTACCGCTGAGGTACTTGATCTCCTCACCTTGCTTGATGAACTTACGGGCGCAGATGGCCGCCTCGTGCTCGGTGATCAGGTAGCGATTCGTGGTGGTGACCTCGAAGGGCGAATCCGGCAGATACATCTGGATATATTTGCGTAAGTGGCGGGTAAACCACTCCTTTTCGCGGTCGTTTGGCAATTTCGCCAGGAATCGCTTTAGTCCGTCCATGGCCAGAAATTTCCGCTCGGCGGTTGGCACATCCTTCTTCACGATCACGTCGTGGAGCAGGATGTTCGCAATCTCATCATCCTTGACCCGCCGTAGAGGTATGTATTTCGTCCGATTCTTGCGAGTGTTCGTCCAAAAGTGGGCCTAGGAGCGTACTTCGGTCAACAAGCAGTGCAGGAGCAGCCATCCCCGGTCAGTAGACGTACACGGTCGACGAGCGCATCCGTTGCGACATCATCATAACTTGCCAGCCTTGCCAAAGTCAGACGGTCGCGACGCTCAGCAGAAGGACTCGATCTCGCCTTCGAAGACGGCATGATGTTCTGCGAGGGAGGGCAAATCCCATGTAAGGAAAAATTTTTGGTGTTTCGAGTCAAGGAAGGGGAGCTCGAAGGTGGAATCCAAAAGAGTGCGTCAATGCGTCAAGGGGAAGCGGCGGAAAGTCGGAGAAGAATCACTGGAAATGGATTCGGTACGGGGAAGCGCCAATTGGATGAGAAGGATAATTATTAAGGGGGGGAAAACTAAAGAGTGAAGGACAGGAAATCCGAAAGAATTGACATGATGAACAAAGGAAACAAGCTGGGCTAGAGTGAAGGTTAGCGCGCATGTAAGAAGAGCCGGGGGGTTGGATTGTGATTGTGGTGGTGGAGTGGAAAGGTGTGTGATGGTGAGTGAATTGGGGGGGGGAGGAACACACAGATCCAAGCGCTGGTTGCCCATGCGATGAGCGGATGTCGAATTTACTTAGTATAGTATGTATGACTAGTAAGACTATGGGCTATGGGTAAAGTATGGCTAAGTATGGCTAACTTACAGTAAGTAATGAAAGAGTCTAGTCCGGGGTCGGTCATCGGCGAAACCTGCCGGCCCGGGACTTTGCTGCTGCTGCTGCTGCTGCGGCTGCTGCTGGGAAATCTTTCGGGCAGTCCAGCCAAACCCGATTGAACCAACCCCATCGAACTACTGTTCTCCCCCAGTTCAGGGCACCACATTCACAATGATTCAACTAAAGGTATTTGAGAAAACAAGTTCGCTGGTGGTTTATGCTCTAAGGTCGGGTTGCTGACGCGGGTGAGCAGACGATGCTGAACTGCATCGACAACTCAGGCGCCGCCGTGGTCGAGTGTGTCCAGGTCTTGAAGAAGAAGCGCCCCGCCACTGTTGGTATGTTTCTACAACCTACAACTCCCTGTCGTTGTATCGCTAACGAAAAGTCTTCTTCCGAATTAGGCGACCGCATCGTAGTGGTCGTTCAGAAGCAGCGTAACTTCGGCTCCGACTCGACGGGAAATTCCGGTATCGCGAACAAGGTCCGTCGTGGTGATATTCGTCACGCCGTCGTCGTCCGCGCCAGAAAGGAAATGCAGCGCCCCGATGGTTCGCTCGTCCGCTTCGATGACAATGCATGTGTCCTGATCAACAAGGCTGGTGAGCCCATCGGAACCAGAATGAACGGTCAGTCCGACCCCGTCAACAACCCTCTCAAACAAAACCACATGGCACTAATACAATCTACAGGCGTCGTGGCTACGGAATTACGAGGAAGACAGTGGTCGAAAATTTTGTCATTGGCGCCCATGCATGTATAAATTATACCTCCCGAAAGCGAATTGTTCTTTTTCACTTTGAATAGCTTGTACCAATAAACGGTTTGCATCTCTTTTGATTAAGATCTTCGCAACTTTTTCCCAGGCATCGCCATAACTCCACAACAAATAGCAAGAAAAGAGACCAACATCGGGTATCAGGTCGTCACAAATAGACACAAACTCCAAAATTACATGAAGACATTGCCGCACGCGCAGCACACATAGTAAAGTTTCTGAGAAAAGGAAGAAAAAAAAAAAGTCCACGTCAGCAGCAGGTTCGAGATGGGGAGATTGCAGGCAGAAGGCCTCACCATTCCGGTTTCCGCAGATCGCTGTTGCGACTGGAAGAAGACTGCTTCGGCTTCACCGCAGCTCGGGCAGAGCTTGTTGGACCGGGGAAGCTAATTTGAAGAAAAAAGGCGGGGGTTAGCCACAGAATCCCAAGGTTATGTGAAGGTAGCCCATGAACGGGAACCAAGTCCGGTCTCAGTTCATCATGAAGTCATCATAGTCCTCTTCCGACCATGACTCCTCCGACGATGACTCGCAGACAAAGCAGGTAATCTCTTCCCCGCAGTGATCACAGAAACCCGGGAGACAAACCGTAGGATCAGATCCCACATCTGTGGTGACACCGGCAGTGTCGCCGACTTGGGTGTTGAGTTTGTTTTGGTAGACGCAGTAGGAGGTGGCGGGCTCGCCGACATGGCAGGTTCGACATGTGAACATCAGGCGGTTGTTGACGCGGTCTTCCTTGGGGTACAGCAAGTTGGAGCTAGACATTCTCGTCAGTGTCAAGTCAAAGGGAGTAGATGGAAGGAGATGCGCTTACCATTCGCGACAGAAGCGAAAGTGAATCTGATCGGCGCTCTTGGTTTCGCCGCCAGCGGAGGAGGCTGGGCTTGCAGACATTTTCGGCGTATGGATAGGACGGTGAATGACGGTAGTGGTTTGGAGAAAGATAGAAGGAGTGAGACGTTCTCGTAATTTTTGACGGAAGTGCGAGTGAAGCGCTGTGAGCGAAAGAATAAAGCAGTGGCTGAATAGACGGATGAGAGCTGAGGTATGGAAAGATAAGAGATGACTGGGAGATGGAAGTGGAAGTCAGAAGAAAGAGGCGGAGCGGAAGCAACAACAGCGTGGCCAGCCATGTGGAGAGGTCCGTTGCCGTGTTTGTGTGATTTGTGCGGTTTGCACCGTTTGCTTGTGTCCCCTCGGGTCTCTTCCTCTCTTCCCCCGCAGTTTGTCCCGCAGTCGGACCTGCAGAAAGAACAAAGCTATACTCCGTACACAAGATCCCTTCCCCTCCCCGCTTTTCTTCTCAGCCTCTTTTTGTCATCATCAGACATCAGACACCATAGAGAACTATAAACCTCTCTTAGAGACACAACACACAAACCTCACTACGTTCACAATGGTATTGACACTGTCCATGTTCCTCTCAACTCATCTATACGCTCTGCAGTCATTGTTTTCCAAGCTTACTGCTGACGCCCAGCTTCCACTACAGGTAGAAACCGGTCTTCCGGCAGGGTGGGAGGTTCGCCACTCCAACTCCAAGAACCTCCCTTACTACTTCAACCCGAGCACCAAGGAGTCCCGCTGGGAACCCCCCGCCGACACGAACACCGAGAAGCTCAAGCTGTACATGGCCGACTACCACAGCGGGCCTGCAGGACACGGGATCGGCCAGGGTGAGGGAAAGATCCGCTGCAGCCATCTCCTGGTGAAGCACCGGGACAGCCGACGGCCCAGCAGCTGGCGGGAGGCCGAGATCACTCGGTCGAAAGAGGAGGCGATTGAGATCCTCCGCGGCCATGAGCAGCGCATCCAATCGGGCGAAGCTACCCTGGGCGACATCGCCATGTCAGAGTCGGACTGCAGCAGTGCTCGTAAGCGGGGTGATCTGTATGTGAACTTCTTGAAATGTGCGGCCTCGGGACTAATGTGTTTGCAGTGGATTCTTTGGACGCGGGGAGATGCAAAAGGAGTTCGAGGACGCAGCCTTTGCGCTGCAGCCGGGACAGGTCAGCGGTATTGTTGAGACCGCGTCTGGCGTTCATCTGATCGAACGGTATGTATGGAGTTTATATGGTAGATGGTGGGTACTAACGATGTGTCTAGTGTTCAGTAAAGGCTTGGAGTTTTAGCTCTTATAGTTGGAAGAATATATACCTCGCTTATAACATCCGACGCGCTTGAGATTTGTTGTGACGAGTGCCTTAATTATTGATGCTAGCCAGTAACACAATGTCCGGGGTAAGTTGATAGAGGTCATGGAGGAGGTACGGTTTGAGAAAGATATAGGGCTTGTGCTCCCTGGGGCAGGGTTGCTGCTCTCCATCACACCAGTAACACCAGTACACTTGTGTATGATTCACCTGAACCGAAGGGGCCATGATGCTGAACACATTTCCAGAATTGACCTCACTCTTCCTCTCCACTCTTCACTCTCTACCTCCATCACCCTGCAACTCATCTTCCTCATCTATCCTCACTTTCACCCTTACCATCTCCATCCATCCACCTCACCTCACCTCACTCACCTCATCCAGAAACCAACCATCAACATCAACCCGATCTTCGCCCCCAGAACCAAACAACACACACACACACACACACACACACACACACACACACACACATCGCAACCACCAACCAAAACAAAATGTCCTACCTCTCCACCCGCACGCTGAACCCCCCGCCTGGCCGCATAAGCTGGGACCACCGCACCCTGCACCCCCCGCACTGGGTGTTGACCATCATGCCCGCGACCACCCGCAAACTCATCGACCGCTGCTACATCCTCGCCTTCAACAGCCTGCGCGCTCAACAGTACGTGGAGCTCCACTTCGCCGCTCGCTACAAAGCGCTGTGCCCGGGTGCCATCACCAGCCCCAGCACCAGCACCGATCCCCCCACCAACTCCACCACCAACCCCACCACACCAGCAGAACCAAATCCAGAACCAACACCAACTCAAACACCAGCTACATCCACAGCTACACCTACATCTACATCTACATCTACAGGTACACCACCACCACCACCACCACCAACCTCACAAAAACCCAACCCCGCCCCCCAAATCACGCACGCGCAATCCATCGACCGGATCTTCGCCTGGCGCACAGACTACATCCCCGGCAACCCGACCCTGGCGCCCTCAGCCAAGATCCCGCGGTCCGCGGTGCGGTTCCACGTCGACCGGGCGGCGTTCGCGGCGTACGCGGCGCGGTACACGGCGCTGCTGGACACGTACCTGACGACGCACTATCGGCGGTACCGGGAGGCGGTGGGGGCGGTGGAGCGGTCTCTCGTGCTCCTGCGGAGCGGTGCATCCAGGAGTGGTGGGGGTGAAGCTGAAGCTGCGCAAGGGGAGGCGGGTAAGGACAAGGACAAGGACAAGGACGGCGACAAGGCGCGCGAGATGCGGGAGCTGGACTGTCGGCAGCTCGAGTGGTGGTGGGGGGCGGTGTTTTTGCGGGAGATGATGCGGTGGGAGAGTCGGATTCCGTTGCTGCGGATGCCGGGGTTTGAGGTCGTGGTGGGGGAGGTGTATGAGGCTGTGAGGCGGGCGGTGGAGGAGGGGGGGGAGGGGGAGGAGGGTGTTGTTTGGGAGGGGTATGATTTGGATTGTGGGCGTTGAGGGTGTGGTGGGTTGAGATTTGAGAGGAGAAGGAGAGGAGAAGAGGTGCAGAACTAGCTGGGTGTTACTTACTGACGCTGAGATTGACCAAAAGAAGCAATGTGGTTGAGTTCATGGGCACAGAACGAGACAACAAGGGAAAGAGCACGGAAACACACACCCCGAACCCCGAACATCACAAGACCACAACCACGTCAACCTCAAGCAATAACAAATCCTCTAATCTCCCATAGAAATACTCAATACCAAGATTCCTCCCTACCTCAAACCTAGTCCAAAAATCACCACCACCGATCCTAAAACCCCCGACCTCTCCAAACCTCCGTTCCCCTCACGTGAACCACCAACCCTAACTACCTACATAAAGCAACCGGAGAATCTCAGCAACCTCATAGTCCGGAACCCCCATCCCCAACCCCAACCCCAGACCTCAACCCAACACACATCCCCCAAACAAAGAACACCACCATCCGACCCCATACAAGCCCCCAGAAAAATGACCCCTCCTCCAAAGACCCCCAAGCAAAACAATGGAGCCCCATTGTCCATCTCCCAATTCCAATCCCATCCCATCCGACCCCACCCTCCTCCCGGCATAAACGAATATAAAACCACCCCAAACTACCACACCACACCAGCAGAACCCCCAACCAACCAACCAACCAACCAAGCAGTCACAACATCCCCCCTTCTCCGAAATAGGTAAAGGTCTAGGTACTACTACCACCCATCCCCCAAAATCCCCCAAGTTGTTCCAAGGTAAAGCCAGAAAAAAAAATGTGCACCTCAACAATCCGCACCTACAAATGCGGCTGCGTCTACGACGAACGCACGACGCGATGCCCGGAGTCCCACCGCAACCCGGCCAGCACCCCGGAGCGCGAGGCGTGTCCGGGGATCGTGGTGGAGCGGATCGGCGCGGTGGACGGACCGTGCGAGGAGTGCGCGCGGCTGGAGGAGGAGCCCGTGGAGGTGTACTCGGACGGGGCGGTGTACGAGTCGGATGCGGCCGCCGCCGCCGCCGCCGCCGACGACGACGTCACCTACGAGACTCTGAACAACAGGCCGGCGGGGGGGCCCAAAACCTACGCCGCTGGGGTGTGGGAGCGGGAGGGACTGCTCATGTATGACTTTAAGGACTGGGTGAAGTCGAGGACGGGCCGGTATGGGCACGGGCACGGGCACGGGCACGGGAAGGTGCTGCAGCAGCAGCAGCAGCAGCAGGGCGGGAATGCGCGCCGCGGGAATTGTCCCCCGCTGCCGCCGCCGCCGCCGCCTCCGTATGATGGGCTTGATGATGATAAACAGGGACGGAAATAACAGTCCCGAACCATGATTATTGGGTAGGTCCTGGGTTCTGCTACGTCCTTTGTCCTATCCCCCCTTTTATATTATAGTAAACGAATTGAAATATCTTTGGGTGAGATTCAATATCTTTTTGTCGGATGGAACAGTCCTCGCGCATCAAAAAGAGGTATAGAACAACGATAATGTCTCCAAGTTTTCATCTAAGCATTACTCCCGCAGATCAGAGAGTGGTGTTAAGTCGTTCCAACCGGGACGTGATCGAGTCGATGATTGCAGACCTACAAGCGGATTAGTATGTCATCGGTAAAACTCCGAACTAGAAACTCACTCTCGTTCCACCATTCTCATCGCTTCCCCAACCTTCGTCCGTTGAAGTCGGTATGGGATCGTCGGTTGCGCTGAAGCTGGGCTGCTGGCGTCGACAGCGGGAAGCCTAGCGGCAACCGACTTCGCTTCGGCAAGCATATCGCGTGCGAGTTCCTTGGCCTGCATATGATTCTATTAGCTCAGGGTCGACCCGATAGTTCGAGAGAGCACTTTACCGTTTCGAGGCGTTGAGCGATGGCTTGACGACTTTGCTGGCCCGATTGCGAGTCTTCCGTCGATTCGCCGAATGAATCACCGAGTCTCTTCACCTCCTGGAACCATGCCTTTTCTTTGTCGCTCAAAGGTCTGCCGCCAGATTTCATGAGCTTACTCCGAAGAGCCTCGTATCGCTGCACAAGCTCGGTCTGTCTGTCCTTCGCGGCCTGGAGTCTCTTATCGAGGGCCTCTCCAGTCCGAGATCCTTCGATCCGCTTGCCGTCCTCACCAAGCTCACTGGAGACACCCCGGACCCTATCCGCAACATCAGCCAATTGCTTCAATTGGTCACGCATCTCCCCCTGCAAGCGTTCACATCGGCGGAACAGATCCGAAGCAGCTCTCTCCAGCGCGTTCGTATGCGCGGACAGGATCCGGTGGGCGGCAGCAACTAGATCAAGGGTCGCAGGCGACAAGCGAACTTGCTCCTTGAGGGCCTGGCGCTGGCGATGCGGAACGTGTTTCTCCACAAAGGTATTCAAGGGTGATTCCGAGTAGAAGATGGGTGGCACTTGATAGGGAGGGCGGCGAGGCGGGAGTACAGGCGAACGAGGTCCTTCTTGCGAGTCGAAGATCTGCAACTCGCCAATTGAAGGCAAGGAGACCTCCGGCGCGTCCAAGATCGCGGCATAAGGGACGGAACCGCGGGATGTTAGGAGCAGGTACCCCAGGTCGTAGTCGTAGTAAACCAAAGAGGCTGGCAAGTGGGCAGAGTGGTCCTTATCCTCCCCAACGTTATCATCCACTTCAATGAGCTGCTCTCGCAGAGACGCGGTGCCTTCACACAGGACTTGCAGGCGGAACCCACTTCCACTGGTGTCTTCCGACTGCAGTTCGGCTTCCAATCTCTGCACCCAGGAACCAAGGGAAAAGAAAGTCACATTGGTCGCCGTAGTGACAAAGAAGTTGTAGCGGGAGTAGACATCCTTGGTAAATGTCGGCCAGTGGTCCGCCTGTGTCTTCACGGTGTCCAATGATTCCACCAACAGTAGGTCGCATGGATCGGATACTGGCGTGCGGAAAACATTTTGCCGGCTCTTGGGGAGCCACTGCCCTTCAACGCCATCAAGCTCCAGGCAGACATAGACCCTGCCACTTCCACTCGACAAGCAGATCACGGTAGCCGACAGTTTGTCCTCCCCGTCGTCTTCCAGCGCCAGGTCAACCTCCTCACCCGTCATGAGAGCGTCGATGTCAGCCCTAGCAGCAACGACAAGGATATCGCATAGGTCAAGGTCGTCAATCTCGTCACCGGTGTCCAGACGGAAGGGGCCCTGCAGTCTCGGGATAGCGCTGGGGGTTGCAGGGCGTGTACGGACTTCGTAGTCAGACTCAACATCAGTGAGCAGCGGCTCCTGGGTGTCAATCTCGGTGAGCCAGTCATACTGTTGACGGCAAGCCGCGAGCTCATCTTCAAACTCCGCAGGATCCTCTTGCAAACTCGCGAGCTTTGGAAGGATAGCTGTAGTAAGTGCCGGGACAGTCGTCAAAGGCGCTCTCCACTTGGTGGGGAGCAAAGGACACAAAGCGTACAGATCGCCCGGACGCATCGCAACCCAGAGGGTCATGGGAGCCCAGGCATCCTCCTTGGCAACACCGGTGCCACCAAAAGCAGCCGAGGCGACTTCCATATCGATGTAGTCCGCCGAGAAACCCTTGTTTCTTCCGAACCCCGAGGGCGCGAAATCCTCATCGCATGACGTGCCATCGATCAACTTCCGCAGGTCCACCGCCAGCGTCGGTCGATCAAATGACCAATGGTTATTGCGATCAATTTCCCACACCCGGACGGCAGCATCCGCGGTGACTGTTACCAGACAGCCTGCCAGGTTGCTGTGTACCCCCAATGGATGCCATAGTGCGGAAACAACAGGAGACTCGGGGATAACGTGCGTGGTCGGTCCGAGCTGGTAGGTCTTCACGCGGATTGGAAGGGTGTCGGTGCCAGCCAAATGCGACGGGTCTGGAAGGACTGCGATGAACACGGTGTGGTCGGCTACGATAGCCAGGAAAGCGCCATTAGGAGACGGAACAAGTTGACGGATATTCTCGTGAACCGGGGTTAACAAGACCTGCATGCTATAAGCCATCGCCCACTTTGCACTCGTTGAGTCGTATTACCTTGTAATGCACACTCTTCTCATTCTCAGGTCGTGTTTCCGGACTTCCATTCCTCAGTCGTCTCTGATGCTGCCATTCGTCCTTGACCCTAGTGAGATCGGACCAGCGGATCTGGTTGTTTACCACAGTGAAAAGCTCATTCCCTCTCTTGGCCTGGATGCGCTTGGGCCCCGCATACTGCTGAGCTTGAGCTGGTTGAAGGTTTTCGGGGTGTTTGGAGCCTGCGCTGGAGAAAATCGAAGCACCTGGCGAAGGGCGCGAAAGCCAGGGCGGAGTGTAGCTGATGACTTTGGGCATGGTCTGGAAATGTTTAGATCACACAAGAAAGATGCAGATTACAGACCCATGCCGCAGGGAGCAGTGATAGTGAGAGAAGAGAGGGGAAATGACAAAAAGATGGGGAAGTCAAGGTTGCGGGACAAACCAAGTGTAGGGCGGGAGGAGCAGCAACAAAGTAGTAACTGAACAGCTCCAGCAGCGGCCGGGCAAAAATCCACCGCAGACGCGCGCCAAGAGTTTCCCATTCCATCACTCGAGCTCGGCTTCCACCTCACTGTCCCCAAACTTCCCCTTCTCCGTCTTCCTGTTTCCCACTCGTCCACGTACTATCTCATCTCTCACTCTCTCTCACACACACACACACTGCAACCAGGACTTTCTTGGGTATCTCAGTGGGCGCATTCCGACACAATGAGCACGGTACCGCACAACACCGTGGAGAGACTGGACCGTCCCAGTGCCTACTATGTGGGAAAGGTATAGCTTCACCTAACTATTAACACTTCGAGGCAATGGACAGGATCATTAACCCTTCCGCAACTCCTCAGAACAAGAGACGCAAGTACAGCCACGACGAACCCGAGAAGCAGGAAGAGCCCGCCGACAATCTGAAGAATGCCACGACCCTTTATGTCGGCAACCTGTACGTGCTTCCAAGCTGGACTACACCTCCACAGACCCGCCATTAATTCGTGCTGACTGCTACAGTTCCTTCTACACAACTGAAGAACAGATCCATGAGCTTTTCGCAAAGTCAGCCTCGCCCTCTCCCTGCCGACCACGGACCACAAATTGACCAAGCTTTAGGTGCGGAGAGATCAAACGTCTTGTTATGGGGCTCGATCGATTCAACAAGACCCCTTGCGGATTCTGTTTCGTCGAATACTACACGCACCAGGATGCTTTGGACTGCTTAAAGTATATTGGAGGCACCAAGCTCGATGAGAGAATCATCCGCACGGATTTGGATCCCGGTTTTGAGGAGGGCCGACAATACGGGTATGATCATGGGTTCAATCATCAAATCCTCTTGCATGGCACTGACATCTGCGCAGTCGCGGAAAGTCCGGTGGTCAGGTTCGCGATGAATACCGCGAAGAGTACGACCCCGGTCGCGGTGGCTATGGTCGGGCATACGCCGACGACCAACGACGGCGCGAGGAAGAAGAGTACGGTAAAGGTAGGTAGAAAGCAACAATGCTTCCATCCGGTTGGCGCAAATACGGCGTTTATGTACAATCTATTTTCTATCGCTATCGCTTGGTGTAAAGAAAGGCATGTCCAAAGAAGTTTTCGTACCCAATACCCCATGCGGCGGCAAGAACGATGCTCAATGGCATTTTCATTCATGCAAAGCATCCTCTCAGTGCTCTTCGTTTCTCTTCCGGACCGACTCCTCGACCTGGCGCAACCACCACAGGTGGATTCTGGCATCCGCCGTCAACTCGGGGTGGAAGCTGGTCCCGAAAACATTGCCTTGCTTGACAGCAATGATGTCACCCGTCTCCTTCTCGGGGTCAGACTCGCAGGCTATCTTGGCGGCTGTCCCAGGCAGAGTGGCCAGCACCTGCACATGGTCCTCCATGGCGGCCAGGGCTGCCTCGCTCTCCGCGTGTCGAGAAGGGGCCACGACGGTGTCATCTAGCTTGGCCTCGCCCACTTGGATACCCTCTTGGTGTGGGAGAAGCTTCTCAACAACCGGGGCGCGAATAAAGACGGCTGGGAACGCGGGCTCGTCGGAACCCAGGAAGGGCAACTCCAGTGGCGCCTGGAAGCTTTCTGTTTGCCGGCCGAAATGGTTTCTGTTCACGCGCACATCAAGACCTCCGATCAATTCCTGGCCGCCTTTCTTCGTTCGGTTCGCCGACTCCGCGAGGAGGATCAGGCCGGCGCAGGTTCCCCAAGTTGGCTTCCGGTGGACTCTGCCGTGGAGAAAGGGAGGCAAATGTTAGTCGAGGGCCAAAAGGAGTCAGGTCTAGTAACGTACTTGACGAAGTCCCTCAGGGGCTCCAGGAGATTGGACCGTGCCGCGACGAGGGACATTGTGGTGCTTTCGCCTCCGGGCAGAACGAGCGCATCGCACCGGGCCAATTCCTGCGGGGTGCGGACTTCGATGAACTCCCATTGTGCCTTGGAAACATTGTCAGTGGCGGATGCAGTGGTCGCGGCCTGCTTCAGCAATTGCACATGTTCGTAGAAGGCGCCTTGCAAAGCAAGGACTCCAACGGTGATGCTGCTCATTGTGGGAGTGTGTGGTAGAATTTGGTAGTAGGTAGTATGTAGTATGTAGAAAGTCGGAGCGCCACTTTTGAGTCAATCAATCAACCGATCGCCGCGGGAAACCCCATGTCTTCCGCCTGTTGGAGGCGGATCAACCCTCGGACCGTGCTTATCGCCACGTGACACTCCCCGCAGGAAGATATACCCCATCAGGCAGGTGAGGATTGAATCATGGATTGATTGAGCTGAGCTGACACGATCCTTTTTTCGTATAATCCAGGTTTCTTACCCTGGCAGGCTCGGAATAGGCTCTGAATAGAAATCATCACTCAGGCCCTTCTCGAGGACTTCCAATACCGCCGTGACTCCTTCGCGCGCAACAATCCGCCAGCCCAACTCCACTCGCAACTCTGTTTACTCCTATCATCCACCCCGCAGCGCACGTACAGTACCCCGACACATATACAACCACAAACACCAGCAATAACCACCACCACCACCACCACCACCCAATCCAAAACACCACCGCAGACATCAAAATGGCCACCACCACCACCACAACAACAAGAACAACACCCCCCAAATCCCCAACCCTAACAAGATGGTACATCGACACCCGCCCCCTCACCGCAACCGCAAACCCCACCAACCTCCCGCTAATCACGACCCTGCAACCCGACGACCAAGCCTCCATCCGGCGTTTCCACCACCTCAAAGACAAGCACATGTCACTCGCCTCCAACCTCCTCAAATACCTCTTCATCCACCGCAGCTGCCGCATCCCCTGGGACCGCATCACGCTCTCGCGGACGCCGGCCCCGCACCGCCGGCCGTGCTTCATCCCCAGCGCCACCCTTCTCGAAAGCACCACCACCAGCACCACCACCAAAGCAATCCCCCGCATCGAATTCAACGTCAGCCACCAGGCCTCCCTCGTCGCGCTAGCCGGCACCACCATCCCGGACCCCGCCGACGGCGTTCCAACCGAGGGAATCCCGCAGGTCGGGATCGACATCACCTGCACGAACGAGCGCCAGCCCGCCAGCAGGAACAGCACGACGCCCGAACCCCCCCGCGACACCTTCACCAACTACGTCGACATCTTCGCCGAGGTATTCTCGCCGGAGGAGATCCGGTTGATCAAGACGCTCCAGCCCCCGACCGCACATGAAACCACCACCACCACCACCACCACCGCCCACACGCCCCAAGAATCCTCCAGCGACGCAGGGCTCGAGTACAGCTACCGCGTGTTCTACGCGTACTGGGCGCTGAAGGAGGCCTACATCAAGATGACGGGCGAGGCGCTGCTGGCGCCCTGGTTACGGGAACTGGAGTTCGCGGGCGTCGTGGCGCCGGAGCCGGCTGCCCCCAAAACAAAAGTCGGGGAGCCGTATACCGGGGTGCGGACGACGTTGCACAAACAGCCGGTCGAGGAGGTGCGGGTGGAGATTGTGGCGTTTGAGACGGATTATCTGATTGCGACGGCGGCCAGGGGACCGGGGATTGGGGCGCGGAGGGGGGGTGGTGGTGCGGATACGGCACAGCAGGACTCGTGGGAGGCGTTGCGGGAGATTGACATTGAGCGGGATGTTAGGCCTTGTGCGGAGGGGAGGTGTCGGTGTTTGGAGTAGGGGATGCCCGGTATTTGGGTGGTATGGTGATATCTAAGGAGAAGGAAGATTGGTTCGTTCCAACCACCCCAGAGTACAGCTGAGCACACTCGTCGCGTTACGGGTTTTGGCCGAAAAGTCCCAAGTAGCGATGGTGATGGTATATACACTCTAGAAGGAAATGGTCTCAGTCTATGAATACAAAGCTTCTTGAATACCACTCAGGTCTAGGGATCGTCTACCCCATGGGCGAGCAGGATCCTCGTCCGCTGTCTCTGCCAGCCAATCCTCCAGTCTTCTTTCCCCCTGCCCTCCCAAAGTTGGCTCCCGCAAGGCCTAACCAGAAAAGCGATTGCGGCGTTGCTCCGTTAGAAGAAATTAGGTAAGCGGTGAGAAAGAACAGGGTATTATCGACGCGGGAGATGGCTGGAGGACACAGGGTGCCAGGCCAGAGAAAACCTCTAGCCGTAGGATTCACCCTCTCCCAAAGCATCTGATTAAGTACGGTGAGTGGCTGCATGGTATGATCGGTTGAGGACGTGGAATCGTAACAAGATGAGTAACAATAGAGAAGGCGCGGACATAGGATATCGGCAGAGTTTACAAACTTTCAAATGCAGGGCGCTTCTCGGTCGTGAATGAGTCGATCATGATATCACGTGAACTGTATCGTCATGACACGAGATCTAGATCTCGACGGCAGTGGAGGTGCCATTGGCGACAGCGGAGCCGATCGCTGTCTTGCCCTTCTCCGACAGTTCGAGGAGAGTCTTGAGCATCGACGCTTGCGTCGACTTGGTGAGACTGTCGACGTCGGCGGGGGTCAGACCCTCGGTGCTGATCGGCGGAAGGACTATACTTGTGTTAGTCACCAAGACATGATCGAAAGACACATCCCAAACCCAAAAGCGCACCCTTGATCTTGATAGTCCCCGCGTTGAATCTCATGTTGCGGGGAGACAGGACGTGGGAGTAGTTCTCCGTGACGACGGGGACGATCGGCACACCCGCCTTGACAGCCAGGTGGAAAGCACCCTTCTTGAACGGCAGCAGCTCCGGGTTGTCAGAGTAGCTCCGGGTGCCCTCGGGGAAGATGAAGACGCTCTGGCGGTGCTGACGCATCTCCGCGGCGGCGCTGTCGAAGGCCTTGACGGCCGTCTCGCGGTTGGCACGGTCAATGAAGACGGTCCGGGACAGGGCCATGAACCAGCCGAGGAAGGGCACATATTTGAGCGACTTCTTGGCCGTGACGCTGCAGTAGGGCGGGAAGATGGCGCCCAGCATGAGCACGTCCAGCTCCGACTGGTGGTTGGAGATGAACACCGCCGGGCGAGTCGACAGGTGCTCGACCCCCTCCACGATATCGAACTGCACACCGGTCGTATACCGCATCACCCACTTGAAACTGCGCGCCGTAGCCCACTGCGACACCCGGCCGTAGCCGGCCAGGCGCAGGACGATCGAGGCCACAACGCCATAGGTGGCGCACAGGAGGAGCGACCCATAGGCTGCCAGACAGCGAGCAACGAACGCGGCGCGAGGAACCTTCTGGCCGAGAGCAAATAGAGAGAGCGTGACCACGACGAACGAGCTGATGCCCGAGGCAACGTAGGAGAAGAAGGACATGACGAGACGCGACAAGGAAAAGGGCTGGTCGGAATTAAGACTACGGGTCTGCATTAGGAAGATTTGAGTCAGATCAGGGTCCTAGGGCGTATAAATGAGGGAGGGGAAAGATGAGAGGCTGCAAATGATGATGATGATGATGATGATGATGATGATGAAAAGAGGGTCACATCTTTCTCACTCGTAGAAAGAGATGGGGGGGGTGGGCGATTCAACGAACCGAAACAAACCGCTGGGGGAGATGGGGGAAGGAACTGCTGGGGTGGTTGGATGATGAGGTCAGGCGAGTGGTTTCGGAGAGAGAGAGAGAGAGAACTACAACATCACCCGAGGGAGGGTATCAGGATCAGGGGAGGCAATGGGCAACAATGCGAATGACTTTAATAAGATGGAGAGTCAAGTCAATCCAGGAACAGGGACTAAATGTGGGGAATTGACCAGGGGAGGCGAACAACTCAACAATCAATTCAATTCATTTCATCGATTCAATTCATCCCGACTGGTTTTTTGACTTTTGGGCCGATTCCTCCGCCGCCTCTCACCGCCTTCACCGCCTCGTCCTGCTTTTTTTCCGCCTGGAGAAGCCGAGGCTCTTTTTAGTGGGAAGTATACAATACAACAAGTTACTTCACCCGCTACTCAGAACTCCCACATGTTCAGCACTTATTCTCATTGCTATGCTACTATACTAAAGATAGACTGCATAACGCACCATAAGAATACCCCTTCATTATGTGCATGGACCCTATCGTTCTGGCGTCCTTATCTCGGGTTTCGCAATCAACCCAACCCACCATCCATCCATCCTCCCCGACGCTAAGATACAATATCCAGGAGCCTCAACACCCCGTCGAAAGCCCAATGCAGGAAGATGCCCTCTAACCAACCCACCGGCAAACGCCCTTATAATGCTGATGCTTGCACGAATATGATCCAGGAAAAAGAAAAACACAAACGCCGATCCTCGCCCAAATGATGATCCCACGCCGCAAATTGGGTTCGGAAAACAAACCGCAGGCTGAAGGACAAGACTAACAAGGTACAAGAATGGAAATGAGAGTATCGGAGGGATAATTCAGGAAACCGCGGGGGCAATGGTACAATCATGCAATATCCTCGTCGTCTTCATCGTCGTCATCCAAGGATTCCATAGCGTCCTTGATATACTGTGCCGCCTAGTGTACGGGGTTAGCATTGCTTGGGACCAGCAGGAGCAAAGAGGTGACTTACCTTGGGATCCAAATTCAAGGCGGTGGTAAAATGTTTGATTGCATTGGCTTTTTCGTGTAACATCTTGTACAGTTTGCCCAGAAGATAGTGAACGTTGGCTTCGTCGGGAGCCATGTCTTTGAGGATCTTCAATTCGGCGAGCGCTAATTTCAGCTCCTGGAGCTTCATCAACACGCGAGCCTTGCGGAAGCGAGCAAGAACCGAATGGGGAGCGAGAGAGCAAGCACGGCCGTACTGAATGAGAGCCGTCTTGGGATTGTTCATTTTCTCCAGGACCAGACCAATACAGCATATAAGCACAGCGTTGGTCGGGTTGATCGTGGCCGCGTTGCGGAAGTGTTGTTCGGCGAAGTCAAGCTTGCCCATCTTATCGTATACCGTGCCCAATCCGTACCAGGCATTGTAATGCCGACTGTCGGCGCTGATTCCATGTCGGTACGCATCCAGGGCTTTGTCGTATTCCTCATTCGCCACGTACTCGTGTCCCTGTAGGGTGAATCCGTAGGCAAAATGAGGATCCAACTGTGTCGCACGCTTGAAGCACTTCAAGGCTTGATCGTGGTCGCGTTGATGAGAGAAGGAGTTGCCCACAGCACACCAGGCCTGCGGGGAGAGGCGATCAATCTCCATCAGCTCATGGGCCAGATATGCCAGTTCCACGTCGCTCTTTAGGTGCCACAAGACCGTCGAATAGATCTCCATATCCTCTAACCTTGAAGGAGCCATCGTCTTGACCCGGATGAAGTACTTCTCCGCTTCGGAATACATGGCTTGCTCGTAATATGCCCTTCCGATCTGCGAAAGAACCCAGGGGGTCTCCCGCTGGCCTTGGGAGAGGGCTGTGTAGATCTGAATTGCTTCAGGACACTTGTATCGGCAAAGCGCGAAATAGCCAGAGGCCAACTTCGAAAAGAGCTCTAGCAGCCAGTTCAGCGCCTCCATCGCCTTGGACCTCTCCAGTAACGTCCCCTTAACGGGAGGATGGTGTACCCCATTGGGCGCCGAAGTGCCTGACCGATGCTCCCTCGTTTCACCATCATGAATTTCGTTCAACTGTTTTCGGGAGCCGCTCACAACACGGTTAAGACTCGCGCCTGTTGCAGTGCGGCTCTTCGTACTAGTGGCCTTGACCTTCTTGAGCTCCCTACCATCCTTGGCTCCGAGCGCCGTATTAGACAGTTTGCTAGTCGTCGGTTTGATCTGATTGAAGAGTCGGACGCTCCGCCGTTGCGGTGCCCCTGGCTCAGAAGGCGGTTGCGCTGAAGGGTGAGCCACTTGGCCGGAGACAGTTCGTTTGCGGTCTCCCACCCGAGAACCGTTGATGGCGTCTTTCTCTGGATGTAACGCGTTTTGCTCTTCTGTCTCGATGCGGGTCCTCGTTCGTGGTCTGATCCCCGTTGGTTTCATCTTTGGCGGTGAATCCATGGTATGGTCCACTCCGATGGCTTGGATTGTCCGGTTCTTCCGAGCAGGCGCTAATGGCGGCTCCCACGTACCTTCGCCGCTCCCTGTCCGGTTGAGGCCACGGATCTCATCGGATTCGCTGCTTTGACCTCCGGGCGTCTCAGTGCCTTCCCTAACTGCTGGGGCCGTGCCTGTCCCTGTTGACGCCACGCTGACTGTGCTCCCATTCAGCTTTTCCCATAGAGCCGAACTACCGTGAGAGGCCGTCGTGTCGCTTCGAGACGTTAACGACGTAAATGGATCCATGCTCGAATTCGCTTTAGCCTGTGGCTGCAAAGGGCCACCATTGTGTGTCGTCTTGTCGGAGGGGATGTCCAGGTCCTCTTGCGAGGAGGATGATACTAGAGCATGGAACTCGGGGTTCATCTTGAAGATGTTCGGAACTCGAACATTGACACCTTCGAAGTCATCAATCAGCAAAGTGCTCGCAACCGATGTTGACCTGCAAGCGACTCACCCGTCTCGCAAAGACCCAGAAACGCGTCCCACATGAACGGATTCAACTTGAGCGACTCAACATAGCATTCTACCGCCTTATTGTGTTGATTGTGAGCGTGCCACAGCTTACCCAGTAAGCACAGCACTGCTGCCGCATCCGGAAGATGTTGTCTGCGCGTCTCGCTGTGCTTGTCTAGAAGTAAACAAGGAAAACAGAGGTCAGCCCCAAGCCGCAGTACAAAACAAGAAACAGGTCTCGCGAATGACCGCATCATGCCGCCGGAAAAACTCAAGCAGACTCACTCCAATGGTTTTTGGAAGCCCAAAGGCCTTTACTCCGTTCCAGCGCCGAGATGCCGTCGATATATTTCCCCAGGTCCAGACAAGCTTGCGCGAACACATATGCGCAACCAAGATGCGTGCCGCGGGATCCGAAGTTCTTGCTATAGTCATATGCTGCTTTTACCTGGCCATTTTGGAGATGGCATAAGGCGAGCAGGTACGATGCTTCCGATGCGCGCGGCTCGTAGGCGTGCAAGCGGCCGGCCAGGAAAAGCGCGTTACGGACCAGGTTGTTATCGAGGTGATAATAAATCAACTGCCGCAGCTGGCTCGATATGTGAGCGGTAGATGGCGACATGGTTACTTTGCGGTTTCATTCAAGGAGTCGAGGATGGAGGTGTTGCGTGAGTCGGAAGGATAGGAGGGAGTGTCTGTGCAAGGGAGGTCGAAACAAGAAAAAAAGAATAAAACTCCTTCTCAAAACCGATAAGTCATTAGGTGAGTAAGTAAGCAAGTGGTATTTTCGTAACACTAGAGTCGTGGGAAAGGCGCGGCGAGAACAAAGGCGAGGTAACGAGGTCGCGGTGCCGGCTCTCACTGCATGGATGAAATGCTTGTCAACAGCCACCGTAATCCCGGACCGAAAGGCGCAAAGCGTTGTCGCAGGGCCAGTCCCTGCCTAATCCCTGGGACGGAATCCTCCTCCTTCCCTTTTTTTCGAAGATTATCGAAAGTCGAGAGAGGGTGAAAGTGAGGTCGGAATAAAGCGAAGTGAATGACGTCTCGCGAGAGGGACAGACTCGTGACGACGATTGGGAGAGGGAGGGGCGAGTCTAGAGGGATGCTAGGAGGAGATCGAATTGCATATCGCAGCGATGACAAAAGGGTGGAGCATGAACAGTGCCTGGAACTAGCCCCAAGCTGGCGGGAGGTTTTCGATGCGGTGAAGTCAAGTCAAGTCAAGTTAAGTTAAGTTAGGGACCGTGTCGTCACGACGCTCTCTTTTCGGCCATGCGATGTTTTGGGGAAGCAAGCAATTCAGAGCGTGGCTGGTGGAGAGCGAGGCGCGGGCGCTTGTCCGGTTGTGGTGGTGGTTGTGGTGGTTGTGGTGGGCAACGCTATTCTGCCATGCCATTCTGCCATTCCCTCTTCCGTCTTCGATTAAGTGACTCCGTAACTACCGCCGACTGCAGCTCCGTCAGAAAGAAGTGACCCCTCGATGATCATGCCACATTGCTACTGAGATTCGATTTGACGTGTGAAGGCTTTCTACCATTCTGTTATCGCATATCACAAAAGAAAAATCCCACATCCCAAATATCCATTGAAAGTATCCGCATCCACCGCCTGCCCAGCCGTTCCCCACACCACGCGACCTCAGGCGCATCATCCGACATACACATACTCGTTAAGACCAGATCACCTCCACCACCTACACCCACCCACTACTACTACCACCACACACCACCATGGCTCAGGTACTATCCCCCAACTCTCACCCCACATCCAAAATCCCTACTAACCACACTCCAAAACAGAAAGCAGCCAAAACCCTCGCGGCGCGCAACACGGCCCTCCTCCAGCGCACCCACCTAATCAGCCTCGCCCTGCACGCCCTCTACCTCGCCCTGCACTGGACATTCCACCGCCCGCGCGCCCTAAAGCCCTACATCTTCCTTGCGGTCCCGACGCTCCTCATCGAATTCTACCTGGACCGACTCGGCCGGCCGCGCCACAACCCGGCGGACGGCTCGCTGCGCTCCCCCGGCGAGGACCTCGGCGCCGCCGGGCTGACGGAGTACATGTGGGACGTGCTGTACTGGACGTGGGGCTGCATCGGGGCCGTGTGCGTGTTCGGCGACCGCGCCTGGTGGCTGTGGGGGGTCATCCCGCTGTACTCGGGCTGGTTGGCCTACTCCACGTTCATGGGGATGCGGAGCGGGCTGGCGGGGATGGGTGGTGGTGCTGCTGGCGATAGTGCTGCTGCGGCTCCGGAGAGTAAGAGGCAGAAGAAGTTGGAGAAGCGGGGTGGGCAGAGGGTGCAGTATCGCTGAGGTGGGGGGATGTATAGGGGACTTGATTGTTGCGGTTTCCATTTCACGACGGATCTATCTGAGGTGGATGGAGGGTATTTAGAAACTGAATGTGGGCTGGGCATGGTCTCTGGAGTGGTCGGACTCCCATGTACGCTTTTGTTGTATAGATGAAAAGTTGTTTACGTATATTCAGATCATGGAAATGCACAGACCTAAACTACGAGTATGCTGGCAGTCGGTGAGACAAGGAAGTCAAACGGTATGGTTGATCCCAGTGCAAGTGCCAGTCTTCAAGATAGCTTGGAAAAGAGCCTTAATAAAATAGCCAGGTGTTGTACAATAGAAATCGATATATTGGTCGTGACGTACAATCGTAGGAACTATGTGGGGAATATTCAAGCTCACGATCTGACAAGATGTGAAGGTCAGGAATAGAGAAGATAGAAACATAAGGATATCAAGCACAAAGGAAAAGCAAAATAAAAGGATAAAAAGAGAAAGCAAGAAACAGAAAGCCAAATACTGTCAAGCGACGGTAAAGATCGTGCAGGTCATGGTCTTTATAATTCAGCCTCAACGTCGTCATCCATGCTTTCGGTCTGTTCATCGGAGTCATCCACACCAGTCTCAACTGCGACGGGTTCGAAGTCACTCGCACGGGAGGTCAGGCTGACATATTGTGACTCCGCACTCTCCATGGCTGCTTCGACGTCCTCCGGATCCTCGGGGGATTCTTGCTGTTCATGCGCTGGGTTTGGCACGTCGGGGGCGGCATGTGCAACAGTCGGTTCGGAAGCAATTTCCTCAGTCACCGCAGAAGCAAGAGTAGTGGTCTCGTCGAGTGGAGTAGCTGCTGGCGTTGTCAAAGCATCATCAATGACGCTGACTGGTGCCGAAGGTGCCGCCATGCTCGATGCCGAGGATGATACCGAGGATGATACCCCGGATGGCCTCGGTGTCTTGTAGATGGCGCGGAGTTGTTTCATGATGTCTTCGGCGAACTCAACATCTTTGCCGACAAGCAACCCCGAAATGAGTTTCTCGATAGCCTCCTGCTCTTCGGAGCCCAGGTGGCCTTCCTTGGCTTTTTGGGAAGAGAGAACTGCTGCGGCCACGCCCCATGCTGCCTGGTCGGATGCATCGAGGTTGCTGGTGCCGGCAACGTCGGCCGGGTTATCCAGTTGCTCGGCAGTGAACTCCGCGGAGGCACGATGGTTCTCGAAAGTCTCGGGGCTTGTCTGGGATGTCTCGTCCAGAATGATTTCATCAGCAGTGTCTTCTTCGGGAGTGGCGGGCTCTGGAAGTGATGGCGGAGGTTCAGATCTCGTATCAAAGTTGTCGCTCGCTTCCCGCGCAGAAATCTTCCATTTGCCGACTTCCCTCAATCTCGCAAGCTCCTTCGCAGCATCCTCAGCCACAACCATTCCTCGTGACAATGTTTCCTCGGCAGCTGAGACCGCTTCTTCGACCTTAGCATGTTTGATGCCAAAGGCGATAAATTGATCTTTCCAATCCTCCATTTCTGCTTTGAGTGCGTGGTATCTGGCCCAGTCTTTGTAGGTAACACCATCCATCGACGCCCAGCGGATGCCCACCTCTTGAAACCCAAGATCACGAACATTATCGAGAACTTCGAGGGTAGAGTTGACTGCGGCATGAACGCGACGCATTAGCTCATTCTCGAACGAGTTGCGCCATTGCCGGAGAGCGTGAGCACGGCCTCGGATGGAGATTGCGGATTCTTTGAGGTTCCTCAACAGCTCCTCTTGGGCAGCCTTTTCAGCTCTGGGGAGTTCTTCGTAGGGCAGAGATTCAGCCAGGGTGTTGATATGATGCTTGAGAGCGATGATCTCATTCTCCACAACCGCCTCCAGCCCGGTGACCAATTCCTCGCCATGGTCTACATTTTCCTTGGAGAGGTAATCAGAGACGACCTCTTGCAGAAGCTCCTCAAGGCCCTCAAGGCCATTCTTAGAAGCGACGGCGAACTTTTCTTGCCAAGCGTGTAGGTCACTCTCGACTCTCTCGCGTCTTTGGGCTTTCTGTTCCTCGGCCGAAAGTGTGAGCTGCGGCGGGGATACCACGGTGGTGGATGACATGGTAGCAGTTTCGAATTGGGTAGTTCTCAGAGATGTGGTGCCTAGGACTGAAGAAGCAAGAACCGACTGATCCGGGAAACTCCTGCTGGAATGTGAGTAAATGGCCACGAACCTGCGTTTCCGACATGGGCACTCACGCATTGGCGTCATCCACAACATTTCGAGGCCCCTTTCCCTCGCGGTAACTGGCCAGCCTCTCGCCAATTTTGACGAGTTGGGGTTCTACATTCTCCCAGTAGAGACTGGCGATCCTGGGCCATAGAGTTCCCTTGATGAACTGGATAGTAATAGACCATGAGTTCTGCGCGTTGGGCAGAATCGTGGTAGTAAGGATATCCTGCCCCGATGCGAATGTCTTTCCGATGTATGGCTGGTACTTGGCGCCAAAGGGTAGAAGATAATCGATAAAGACGGATCTGACCGCGCCACTAGCCTTCCTATACGGCGGCAAGGCGAATTCCTCGGCACGCTGCACATATGGGTAGATTTCCGACAGGTACAGCGTGTTCGTCTTGTCCTTGACCGCATTCAAGTGTGGGGCCACTCGCGCCTCCCATTGATCCTGACCATATAATTGCGCCTTGTTTAATGCGGGCACACCATAAGTTTCATAGCCGCGTCTAACGACGCGAGACGTGGGCGTATAAACTTTTTCGTTGACGATATGCACGTACGGACGGGCCATTTCAACATAGGGCGCACCGTACGCATTATAATACGGGGTTATATGGGGCTCGAGGTGCGATCGAGCGATTAGGTACGGTTTGCAAACTCGGGGCGAGGCCCCATCCAGTTCGGAGAGCTGGGGTGGGCAGCGAAGGAACGGCGTTAATAGCGCATACCATATACAGAGCCTGACATGAAGAAGATGGGGGAAGATCGTCAGGTCAGCGAATGTGCGACAACAATAGGTCCCATCAACAGAGTGAAACTCACCGGACCACCAGCCCTATCGTCCACCTAATCGTGTTCCTTTTCCGTTGCCTGGGTCTGCTGTCGACCGTCACAGCAGGACGACTAGGTCCCTCCACCACAAAGCCGTTCTTCGTGGTGGCCATCGTCTCGTCTCCCATTTGCAAGGAGTGCTTGGGTTCGCAAATTTCTTATCGTGTCGTATTGCGCGTTCAGGTTGAGCGAGTTGGTAGGCAGTGATGTTGGAGCAGAGAAGCCTAAATCATCACGCGAGATTAATTAGAGTCCTCGTCGAGATAGGGATTTCGCCCCTGGTGGATGTATGACGAATGGGCAATGGTAGCTCTTCTCGGAATCGGCAGTTGAGAGACCCTGTAGAAATCCGCACGCGCAATGGAGTCGAGAGTCTTGGCACAGGGCCTATGCACGCCGGATGGTGGGTATCACAGAGAGTAAATCTTTCCGGCTGCGTAGGAGGCGTAGTTGCTGCACACAAACAAAAACAAATGAATGACGATCAAAAGGCAATTAACACGTAGTGTCGTAGGACTTTGGGAGAATGGTAGCAGTAGGAGATGAAGCGAGCCCTTGGCCGCGATAATGCAAGAGCAATGATGTTTTGCTTAAGAGATCCCTCGGCGCAGTGAGGTCATTGCTCTATGTGTGGCGCCAAAGTGGTGCACTCTTACAGGACGTAACTTCGGGATCAGCACAGGCCGGGCCCGGATGGCAGCTCTTGGCCTAGTCCATCGGTACGGTACCGTATCAAGCTCACATTGGCCCTCTACAACATACAGACTCTGGAGTAATCCGTACAGGTCGTGCCAATGAAGAGATATCTGCATCGAATTCATGTTGACTCAGGTCATGATCAGTTACATTAGCTAGGCAATTTACAAAATCGGTCACGTAGATGTAGTGTGGGGTTCGCGTGTTAGTACAGCAAATGTCAACTCTTTCCAGGTTATACTATCTTTTGTCAGCAACTCGTTGGTGGTGATATGGGTTGAAGCTGGAGCCAGGATATCAATTGACGTCAGTGTGGCCGAGTGGTTAAGGCGATTGACTCGAACCTTAGTAGGTCCCATTCTTCTAAGGAGATATCAATTCCATTCGTGGGCGTAGGTTCGAATCCTACCGCTGACGGTTGTCAAACTTTTTTGTGTCCGCGCTTTTTGTAGACCACCTCAATCAGATCATGTCTCTGGTTCTCTCTGTCGAGCGAGAAGGAATGTTTTAAAGGTATAAACTTGTGGTCCTGGTTAAGAGTCTATAGCAGGTATATAGACTCGTGTCGTGGTATTGGTCTCATCGATGTGACAGGCTAACTAACACGTACATATTCGTTCCATGGTTTGGTGTGAGGGACGCGGCCCGAAAATATATCAGCACGACTTCGATCTGCGAGTGGCAAGGCAAGTCTCGGGGAACTTCATAGAACACAACTGCAGCAAAACAAATAATCGTACTAGAATCATCCAATACAAACCATCTTGACCAGATTTGCAGCAGTCGGCACATAACCACACAGCATCTGATCCCCCATACCCCCGGCTTCTTACCCGGCCATTCTCCCCGGTACTTGCATTGGAGTATCATAGTCAGAATGACGCGGGAACAAGACGCCAGCAGCGCTGTAGATGAGAGGAACATGTAACAGAATACCTCCAATCCTGCTTATAACGAGCATACTGCAGAACACAATCGCTTTAAAATTGCTTGTCCTGTTTCGAAACCATTTACCAATCATCCAAAGGCCATACAACTTACTCGTCTTACTTATAACCAGAAGCGTAGCACAACAGATGTAACACCCTTCATCAGAAACATTAAGACCCGAGTAATGCAACTGACGCAAAAGGTCATCACCGAGGATCAGAAAACCATGATATGAGTTAAGACACCAATGTAGTGCTACTGGAAACCCTCAAGAGCAAAAAAGAAATATTTCGTCAGCGACAGGATTCGAACCTGTGCACACGAATGTATCAGATTTCGAGTCTGACGCCTTAACCACTCGGCCACACTGACTTGTTGTTGAGTTTAGTTCCCGTTCACAAAATAAAAAGAGTCAGTGATGGCAGGTTGCCTGGTGTGGCGCCGTGGCTGAGTCAGTCGTATTGCGGGAACTCGCCTGTCCCAACTTGATGTACCCCAGCATCACATCATCCCAGCATCAAGCCAACCAAACTTCACACTCACTTGAACAGTCAAGGCAGAATTGCGTCTCACCCAGAACTTTGGCCGATGCGCAACCATTTCCTTCCATCCCGCCAGACAGGAATAGCCTATCAATCAAGTCCTCGCTTACAAGCATATTCCCGACACACCTCGACGGTCTCAAATGCTCGATGAACATGATACCTGAGTGAGAGAACACTGAAGGACGATAGGGTCGTCGCATCGAATTTGGCCGAAACTATGGAGTCTGCCAACGAATCTCCCCGTGATTTCACCGGCTCAGCACCTTTTCCGGATCTCATGAACGACCCAGTCTACGACACGAACCACAAAGGAAAAGAGAGGGAGTTTGACGAACCGGACACCTGTCGGATATGTCGTGGGGAGGGAACCCCGGAAGAGCCGCTCTTTTATCCCTGCAAATGTAGTGGGAGCATCAAGTTCGTCCACCAAGCTTGCTTGGTAGAATGGCTGTCCCATTCGCACAAAAAGCACTGCGAACTCTGCAAGACACCGTTTCGCTTTACCAAATTATACGATCCCAATATGCCACAGAACCTCCCAGCTCCGTTGTTCTTCAAACAAATCATGATTCATAGCTTCCGTACTGTCGTCACATGGCTCCGTTTCATTCTAGTCGCATTTGTCTGGCTTGGCTGGCTGCCATGGTCTATGAGAGCGATCTGGAGGGCCCTCTTCTGGCTTGCAGATGGTCGTTGGACTGGTGCTGACAATAACCATCCACCCGGCATAGATCTCGTTGTAGCGAATGGCACTACCACCACTATTATTCAAGCCGCTACAGGAATGCCCCGATCGACGACTTCACAACCCAGCACCGCCGACGTCTCGTCAGTGCAGTCTCCAGTATCTTCCCTGTTTGGATTTGCTTCAGGTGAATCATTGCTCTTTATCCTCATCAAGAAAGCTTTCTCCGCACTTTTCTCCCCTGCAATGTCGACTGGGTCTGCTGGAGCCGAATCCAATGTGACTGCCGCAACATACAATCCAAGACGTCCCTCGTGGTTATCCGATGTCAAGTTCTTGAATACTCTAACACCGTCTCCCACCATCAACAACATTATCATCGATACATTGGAGGGCCAGCTTATCACCCTACTTGTCGTTACTACATTCATCCTGATCTTTCTCATCCGGGAATGGGTCGTACAGCAGCAGCCCATGGCTAACTTTCCCGAGGGAGAGCGCGAAGCAGCTGTTCAGCTCATAGCGAATAACCGTCAGAATCAGCCGGTAGAGAATGTGGAGCCCGCGGAAGATGCTGCTTTGCAACCACAGGATGCCGAGTTGGACGACGAACCTGCAGAAGATGATGACTTCGATCGTGCCTTTAACATGCAGGCAAGCCCCGCGGTTGACTTGAATCAATTCCCTAGGTCATCGCCGTTCCACCCCGAGAGTCGCGGTGGCCTAGAATCTTCTGAGTCCCAAGGCCTTGAACCTTCGCGATCGTTCCAAAACAACGTTGAAAGCGACGGCGAAGCGGAGTTGGATTTCCCACCCGAGCAGCCATACGCTCAGACCTGGCCTGGTGTGGATACCTTTAGAGACCTCTGGGACCGGGGCCATGGCGATCCCGAACAGGTACTGAGAATTGTACGCGATGAAGGTCGCCAGAATGACCTGGGTTGGATTGTCAATGCTATGAGCAAGGTCCAGCGTAACGAAGACCGCCAAGACCAATGGAGACGGGACCAGTCGCTTGAAGCATCTTCCAGCACTCACTTCGATGCTGGTATGACTCAACCTGACGATGCTTCAGCCCCGGAACATTTTGACGATGATCGCGCCTTATCATCAGCAATCACTCGGCCCTGGAGCTTCGCAGAGGCGGTTCAAGGCAATGCAGATATCGACAGACTAGAACGGCACCCGGACTTCGATGGCTTCCGACCCAATTCTTATCACGCCGCCGAGCGTGAGCCTCCCCAAGAGACCACACTCCCAACCATTGATGCGCCGCAGATGGGTGATCAGACTAGTGCCACGAATTCTAACCAGGCTGACCCCGCCAATGATCACGAACAATCAAGAAACCGCCCAAGTGCGACTGAAGCTGTTCGGCCTATCGATGCTCACCACAAAAGCTTTGTTGCTTGGCTGCTTGATTGGTTTTGGGCAGATGTTGGGACTGATGACCAGGCCCAGGACCAGGACCAGGCTCAAGATGATGACGAACAAGTAGTAGTTGACCCTGAGTTGGAGGCACCATTTGTCCCAATTCAGAATAACAGACGTCTTGCTGAGGATGGTGCACAAGATAACCAAGGACCCATGCAGGACCTGGACGTCGATGGCAATGACCTCGATGCGGTGGAAGATGGCGAAGATCTAGAGGGAATCCTCGAGCTCATTGGTATGCAGGGCCCAATCTTCGGTCTTCTTCAGAACGGTGTATTCAGCGCCCTTCTGATCTCTTTCACGGTTGCAATTGGTATCTGGCTTCCCTATCTTTGGGGCAAAATCGCCCTTGTCCTCCTGGCGAACCCAGTGCACCTGATTGTCGGTGTACCTATGACTGCTATATCCGTCGTCGCGGATGTCGCGCTTGATACCCTCATCGGTACTTTGGGCTACATATTGTGGTTGGGCAGCCTGATCTGCGAGACATTGCTTGGGCCATTCAGTGCATTTGCTCCAGTGGCCGATTGGATCCCCAAAGCCAAGTCCGTCACCAGCGCGTCGTTATCGCTCATTGATGCCAGTGAGTCCCGTCTACTGAACGCCCTCCAATCGTTTTTCGTGTTTCACGAATCCGACGTCCCTATGTTCTCCGTACTCTCGCACCACGCCCTCAAGATTCATCAGGCGCGCATCTCTTTTTTTGTTGGATCAGTTTTCTCTGTCGGCAAATTTATTTTGCAGGACTTCCCTCTCCGACTGTTAAATGACGGGCTTCCCGGAGCCTTCTCTTTTGGTCGCGAGACCCTCGACTTCAGTGGTC